ATTTCAATCGTTTTTTTGTCAAATATAACGTTATAATCGTAACGTTTGCAAACCCTGGTTCACCCAGAAGAAAATATTATTTTTTGTACCTATGTATCTTAAATATTTTAATCGCGTGGTTTTCATCATGCTTACTAAAACATAAGTTATGATTCACTATTAGCTCATACTTTAAATCATATTACGATTTGTGTTTTGTATTTAAATCTATTAGCGACTTCACATAGATAGAAAGCTCATGTTTATGCTCAAACAACGCGCAGGTATTTTCTGAATATAATTGTTTTTATTTTTTAATCTTAAAGGGAATAAAAATCGTAGACACCCCTCGAATGTGTTATTATATATTTTATCAACACAACACCACTATAGTATGATAGCCACTATAATATAAATATATATGTAGGTAACTAACTCACTGTAGGGAAAACGGCCGTGTTTTACCCACGTCATCGTAATTTGATTCCCATCGTTCGTACCGATTACGACGACGGTGACCTAATATTTTCAACGACTATTGTATGGCTTTTTACATACTATCTTCTCGTCAGTCGTCGTAGTCGATGTGAAACAATAATAACGCGCTCGAGCAAACATAATACAATGTATAATGTTATAATTTAGTCCGCCGCACTGCACTCTATAACCGAAATAAACATTTTTTATGTATACCTGCTGCATACAATGTAACACAATAAACACATAAACCTAGGTTGTGTATATTATAAAATATTACCTATCAAATCATAAATTCATATAATAATAACAAATGGTCCCGTGTAAATGCAGTATACTGTATATTCATTTCTTGTAAAATACTTAGAATCCAATTGCAATTGCTGCATGACTTTACCAAAATTCGAGGGACAATCGAATATAATGTTGTTTTGACCATGTCATGTATATCAACCGATATTTTATCGTGTGAAATTCGATGCTTTTGAATTTAATCTTTTATTATTTAACAACAATACGATGTAAAAATGTTTCGGTTTACTTACAAATTATATTACAATCTCTAATGGTCTGAAAATAGGAGTGTGTTGTGTATAACATTGACCAAGAAGAGAAGAGAGGTGCCAAACACGTAACCAGGCCCCATAGTAAAGGATTGGTGATTTTTTTGTGAGAGTAAGATAGTTATAATATTAAATATTTAAAATAAGAAGGGGTGTAAAAAATAAATAAAGACCGTTTTACGAAAAAAAAAATATACATAGAATACCTATAATAATATAATATAGTATAATGAGAATAACATTCGTGATACAAATTGTAGAACCCCATGGAGTGGTCGTTAACGTCCATGCTCATCGACGAACAATAATAATAATTATTTTATACTAGGTACGTTATATAGTTCAGATAGTCGATAGATACAGAATAATATATTTAAAATAGGATAACGATTATGAAATTATAGGAAAAACTTAACGTACTACTACTTAGGTACGTACTTACACAATATATTATTATATTTGTTACGCCCTTATGATTTATATCAATAATACATGCATATAATATAAGTAGTATTGTCTTAAAGTGTGCTCTCCTTGGTGGAAGGGATTCAAGAACAAAATTCGAGACGAAGACGTATCTGAGTTGTGTGTAGGTACAAAAGAAGCAACTATATGGTTGAAATGCCATTAACGTCAACAATAATAATACTAGAAGTGTAAGAAAATAAATACGAACTAATTGCTCATGTGGGTGGTATACATTTTACAATTTTTGAAGAAAGACATTTGTATCGGTCGGGTCACACAGAGGCGATCCTCGATGTTTGCATATTTCCTATATTATGACATGTGGGGCACACATGGCTATGATAGTAGCCATTTAGTAGGTTGTGGACAACATTTTCAATATGGTGATATATGATATATTATGATTGTGAATGATTAATTATTTTCGTTTTATTTTCGTTATCGGCGCCGCTTCGGGTAATTAAGTACCCTTTGGTAAACACAAATCGTGTGTATAGCGAACTCCGATGACCTATATATTATCTGGGCGTATTTTTGCTCGTACTGCACGTGTACAGATAAATGCCAGTAGACATGTGGCACGCAGTAGCAATGTTGGGTTTGTTGTTTATACGTATTTTATCAAACGAGACAATCTCAAGAGATAAGATCATTTTGAAAACATGTCTTACAAAATGTATGTATGTGGTGTCGTTCGATTGATGTATATGGTTACATTCGAAGAAACAGAGTTCGCTTATCACTATACATCAATTTTTACATGCGCCCTTTTCTTTTCGATAACGTTCGATTTCGTGGAACGCGGCTCCCGAATCGGCAGGCGAGCAAAAGAATTAATGTTTCCCGACCGTTTTTTTTTATAAAGACGCGTATATTATTGCGAAAGTAAAAACTCGGTCGATTTTTCTTCTTTTTTCGTATCCACTCGGAAAGAAGGAAAACCGCATTCGCCCAATCACTTTTCACGGGAAAATAAACGGCGGTTAACGCACAATTTGTAAATCGCATTATCCGCGGGCTCTTTGACTCTTTAACCGCATCGAATCCAATAAACCCGATCATTACCCGGCCCGCTGCCCTTTGAACTCGACGACGACGACAAATAATAAATTACGTCGTTATTATATTAAGTGCGGCTAGCGGAAACGGCAAAAGTCGGGCAGAATGCAGACCGATTGATTTATTCCGGATGGACGGACGACATCACTCGGCGGCCGGCCTGGGGCGATGGTCGCGTATAAAACCGATAGGATAATGCGATGTATTATCTATACACGTCGCTTCGACCAGGATCGTCGGTTTTCGGCTTCGGTGGGGGGGTTGAAGCGAGTACGTTAAAGTTATACTACCCCAAATGCCGTCGCGTAACCTTATTAACCCTATCGTTCCGCTCGTCCTCCCCGACAATCTCAGCACCGGAACGCAATACGCGTGTAATTTAATAAATTGTTGCAGCGTATAATGCCGTTATATACACGAGCCGGGCTGTAAAGATATATATAGGTAGGTATGCGTACAATTTTTTATAAAACGTCAGTCCGTCGTCATTATGGTCCGTCTTGCAAAATATGGTGAAGCTGCTAGGCGATGCGAGGTCGTCATAATGACGTGTAGTTATTATTTGTTAAGCTCTTATAATTTTGTTTTTTTATTTGGAGGAGGGGGGTATTTTTGAACGGATTTTTCCATTTTAATTGTTTGTACTCTTCTCAGCACAGTTCAAAAATAAATTTAAAGATTTATAATTTGTATGTATAAGGATATTTGCCAATATATAGTTTGAATGGATTATTTTGATAGAAGGCTTGTGGTATTAATGTGTGACTTTTATGGCTTATTATAATTCCAAACTATAGGTACGTTTAAAACAGGAAAAATATTAATTAAGAACAACTAAAATTATAAGCTATTGTTTATATGTAGTGTGATAAAATTTATCCTATTCTTAGCCATTTAGAATATTTTTTTACTTATTATTATTTTATTATATTAAATTATTCACAACACACGCGTATTGTACCATTTGTACCTACATATTATATTGAGCAGATAGTGTATAACTTAAGACTCAAGTTTTTTTGAAAGATTATTATTAGATAGGTTATATTATTTTATATTGAAATACTCTCAATGACTGGTTGATTTGAGTATTTGGAATGGTTTTCGGTTTGTGAGTGTAAATACTATTCCACATAATTCGCACCATCGCACCATGGGGGTTCTTGTTTGGATATGAGAACCTGGATATTGTGTAATATTCTATGCTTAGTGATTTATTATATACCTACCTACGTTTTCCTTTGCAGCTCAATTGTATCATATTTCTATAAAATCGAATAATTATATTGCAATACACCACAATACGTACGTTACCAATGATGCAAAAAATTATTAGTAAAGTAAATATTTTATTTCATTTTAAAATGCAAATAAAATAGAATTATCAGAAAAAAGTGAAAAAATAAGAAAAAGAGATAGGTTATATTATAATATGTATATTGTATATACCAAAAAGCTAACAATACTATTTTTTTTTAATTTTTTTATTCTACAACTATCGGGTTGATTTTACAACAGTTAATTTATCTAGATATTTACTAGCAATAATTTTAGTACAGAATACGTAAATTATATAGGAAAAATAGAATTAATCAATAATCATTATTTGTTTTAGATGAAGCTCATAATTTTGTTATTTGTTATTACTATAAATACGGATTATGCTTTATAGTTGTTCCTTATTAATTTATTTTGAACTAAAAGTAAAGCGTTTTAATTTTGAAACGTTGTTTATTGCTTTTATTAATAATTTTAATCTTACAATTATTATTTGGGTGGGCCCTGGATATTCACCATTGCAGTTAATGCATTGTAAGTTGTAACTATATGTGACACTGGTCGTCTAGATTATTACGTAATATTGATTTATAAGTACCTACCGGCTACTTTAAATTAATATACTTACCTAATTCTTAATTATTATTTTTTTTTCCGTTTTTTATTTCATACTTTATTTTAAAATAAATATAAAATTATAAACACAAATTATACCTCTAATGGTCTCGAGTCTAATATATCAACAATTTGTGTTTTAATTTTAATTTTTCAAAAGAAATCAAACTACCGGCCCAAGAGTATAAAAGTTAATGTTACCGAAGTTCTTAGGTTTTAAATTCAAGTTTTGCTTTTAAGTAGTGGATATATATATATAATTACCTATTCTTTTGAAATTTAATTTTAAATCTGCCCACCCCAAGAGTTAAGCTTCTAATATTAACGACATTTTTGGCTCTCGATTCTAGATTTACAATTGACCAATATATCTGAGGGATATAAGAATTTCCTTTTTTGAAAGGAAGAGGGGGGCTCGTGACTATAAGCGTTACTGCGGTGCACGATGTATAACTTAATTCATTTGATTTTTGTTTTGAGTGTTATCATAATATAATATATTACATTATTTATGTATCTTCGGTGTCAGAAATAATAAGTGCTTTTTGTTTTTATATGCAGTCGGCAACCCGAGAAAACAGAGACGTGAACGAACAACATTCACCCGGACGCAGTTGGACGTGCTGGAAACATTGTTCGCCAAGACTCGATATCCAGACATATTCATGCGCGAAGAGGTTGCCCTGAAGATCAATTTGCCCGAATCCCGAGTACAGGTAATTTATTTGTTTGGTTACATGTTATTTGTAAATTGTTTGTCATTGCGGTTCGGGTTATGTTATCAGCTAAGAGGGTCTTAGAATCTTGAATAATGGATAGGGGACAATATTCTAGAAAGCTAAGAACTCAAAAAAATTGGTGAATACTGGTTGAATATTAAGGGACAATGTACATAATATTTACTGTTTTTGTCTTATCGTTTACATTATATCATAAGTTCATCGTTCAGTATATGAACGTAAAAATGCTCATGTTCCAAGAAATATCATTAAAATAATATATATTTGAGTGGTATGACATACTTGATGTCTGCCCAAGTATTTCGAGACTAACCAAATAACTTAATCTATCCATTAATCAAAAACAAATATGAGAAGAATAATCCTCGGGAATGTGAACATGAATTTTGTCGCATTTGATATGGGATAGGCGTGGAGAAATCAGTAGGTACTAACTGAGCATTGGCGTTATCCGAGATTAAGTTGACGAATAAAACAAATTCCAAAATCCTCTAAACAGTATAGTTAGCGGTGAAAATAATGTCTGTCGGTTACGGGACTTTGTCGCCACCACAATTCCACCCTCTAGACCCCTTTACTCATGAAAACGATAAAGGCTGTAGCAATGGGCGATTGGGGCGGTGCGCGCGCGGCCGAATAACCCCAGACTGCTGCGGCTGAATGTAGAAGAGCCCCCACCCTCCACCTCGGTATGTACTTTATGGTGGTGCGCGTGCGTTGCTTGGGGAGGATAACTCTCGCCGTCCTTCCCGACACTTTGTATATATACAGTACGTCCGTTGTTGGTTAATCCCGCCTCCTACCCCAATTCTAACCACCCCTTCCAACAGTCGCCGCTGGTATACTTTGAGTGAGCTCGCGAATAATCGCCGCCACGCACACTTCCGGCGAAAAATGACGGTGTTATCTGCCCCGTCTGTTATACGTCGCCATTGTAGCCTATCCCCCCCTCCATCATCACTAAACTTTTGCTTTTCCAGACATGCTTTTATATAATATAATGTATACTGTAAAGTACGGCAAAGCCGACCGAGGACAACCGATTAGGCTTTCTTTAGCCAAAAGTATTATTTTAACAATATAATATTAGCCATTGATGAAGTCGTTATAGGATAGGTTATCCTTCGCTGAAAAGATTAGTGATCTTTGAGATAACTTTTGCTGAGCCAAATACACAGATCTGACGGTCAATTATATTTACTTCGACAATGTATTAATGATTAGTCTTACGGTCGAGTCTGCAGAAATGTCTAATAAATAATAATATTATAGGTAATATATTGTATCCAATTATCCAAAATAATATTTTTATGATTAGCATGCAAAACGGTCACGTTCCTACTTATTAGTCGAGATACTGCAGTACCTATACAGCATTTGATTGGACCAGACTGCACTAGCTGTTTTGGATTCCCTAGAAAACGATTTGCGATTATAATATAATACACAGCGGCATCGCCAATTAATAATTTGAACAAAATATTACGAAGACAAAGTCGCGAGTTCGACGGCCATCCAATTTTTCGCGATCGATATTTCGTTTGGAGGTGTATCTACCTATAATATAGTATTATTATGTAGCTTTGCAGTGCTGTTTTTTTGTTAGTTTTGCGCAAACCGGTCATGGTCTCTCTTCTCTCTCCGTATGCCCGTCTCTCTTTCTCTCTCTGTCCCCACCGATCGTGCGGCAACCACATACCTAAGCTTCGGTCCGGTTTTCAGACGAAATGATAATAATATTATAATATTGAATTCGGTGCCCGCTCTGCCCGGCCGCGGCGGCGAGGCGCGTTCGTGACACGGAACAATACGTAAGCGCGGCCCGCCGACTGCTTAATATAATATTATAATAGGCGTGGGTAGGTACTATATATACAGTTCACCGGCTACTATATACTAAAATATTCTTGTGCGTACCCTCCGCCGCGTACCTTACACAATACCTATATTACATTATATTATATTATATTATATTATTAACGACGACCGAATATTCGTAGTATTATTATTATAATGTCGTGATAAAAACGCATCCGTTCGCGCACGTATATTGGTTAGTACACGGTCGTAAAACCAATGCATCTCGTGCGAGGTCACGTTTTCCGCCCGCCGCGGCTGTTATACATAATATTATATAAAGCGAACCGCCGCCGCGAAAAGGGATAGCTCCCGGAATAAATTGTCTTCGTAAAATATTCGTCGCCGTCCCGGGCTCGTACAATATATAATAATATATGACGTATATTATAATATTATGTATAATAATACCGCATATGCGCGTACGCGGACGTTTTTCTTTACGACGATTATGATGCGTGTATAGCATAATAAAAATACGATCACTGCAGCATATATAGTTCAAGACGACAATTAATTCAATAAATTGTATTATGCAGAGTGTACAACAATAATTGTATAATATGATAAATTTTTATATCATATCATTATTATTATACGCACCACATGACGTGACGGATTTCGAACGAAGCATCTCTCGCCGACTCGGCCGGTTAACATTATATACCTAGGTATAGTAAGTTGGCTTTGCACGCCCGATCGCGTGTGTAGCCGTCATTCGCGAATTGGCCGAGCACGCAAAGAAAGTACTTTCATGTCGATTTATCAAGCCGTACTTTTGCAGTGTCATCATTCTTGCTCGTCAATAATATTACAATATAATAACTCGGAGTAGAATCGATATAGGCTTTTCTGTTGACGATTTTTTTAGTAGGTATACCACTCGTCGGTATAATATTATAACTTACAACTCTAAGCGAAATCCAGATTCCGCGAGATCAGCATTTACCATCGTTGCACACTAAACTTATAATAATAATTCATTAATTCTCCAACAAGTAATATCTACAACGTAATAATAATAATATAATAATTATATATTACCTGTAAATTATTTTGACAAGCTGCGGTTACTATTAAAGTTCATATTTTCGCGAGGCATGCCAATAAGTATTGTCACTTGTCAGTGCCGTCGCAGCTCATCATTCCAAATACAATTTCAGTGGCTTTAAAAAGTGGAAATAAATTTATCTATAGGTACTTACCTACTAGTACTATTATATTTATTGAGTTTCGTTTGTTTCGATTTTTATTAGTATTTGCCTATATGGATGACGGATTAATTTTTTGGATTATTCATTAAGCTATTATTGAACGATTATTAACATTTGATAAGAATATTTCAAAATTACATGCACGTTACGATGCATTGATGACTCGTTACACGTTGTATAAATAAAAAAAGTAAAACTAATACAATTCACAACATTCTTTTAGCGGTTTTCGCACTAATTGTGTGTACCTATACGTCATATAATATTACAATCGGCCGATTTAATTTCGTTTCATCCTCTACCCTAAATTATAACGGCTTATATTATAGTAAGCTTGGTGCGTGAGGGTGAATTTTTTCGTTAGCGCACAACAGACAAAGAAACTAGGTTAACGCCGACGTTGGAAATAAAATCGATATGCTTAGGACTTGGCGGAGGCGGTGGCGGCGGAAAACGGCCAAAGTTTTTTTTGTATGTTTACACAACGCTACGCATCGGTCATCGTGTATAAGGCTTCTCGACGAACTCCACGAAATTGATACGCACATATATTATTATATATACCTAAGGCGTGATAATCCTCTGCCGCCGCAGTGCCGTTGGAGTTGAGTCGTTTCGTGGAAAAGCGTCGTTGCGCATACCTACCTATATACTACTGCGCATGTTCTTATAAGGTCGATTTTCATCAGGGATGTTAAGGGTGGTGTCGTTTTTGCGTTATACCTATAGTATGACAGCAAGTGTGCTCCTCAACCACTGTATCGTGAGTCGTTATACACACTAATTCATCATTCAATAAGATTAGATAGCTACCAACTCAAATGTATCGAAATAAGCTGTTTCAGTGTTCTTACTTATTACCGTTTTCGATATAACATTACTATTACGCTAGGTATAGGTTTTTTAAAGTTGAAATAAAAATCAAAAAGTTATCAAAGAGTTGACTTGTCCAGAATTTAACCACGCGTAAATGAGTTGTATGTATGAAACATACCCAAGTATCAAGATTTTCATTAAAATATTAATTATATTTTACCTTGTTTAATAAACAATTGTTCGGAACCCGGCAGTGGTGTAGATAGAGTATGATAGACGAATTAGGTACTGCTGCAGATTCTGGGGACTGGGAGCGTATATACGCGCGGTTATCTTTCTTCTGCGACCGAAACAAAAATCTGATGAATTGAATCCTCTAATATATTATTATTGTTTTAACATGAAAACAGCATTGGCTTAGTAGTTTCATTATAGGTTCGTAAGAACTAATTATTACAGTTTTGAAAGTATTAAAATTGCCCGTCTACAGATTCTCTATTAAACGAGTGCGCTGAATACTACTACGCGAAGGTATCTAAATAAAATAAAGCAATGAAATATGAATACACCCCTCTATAGTATCATATTATTATATCAATATATATAGCTGGTATAGGTGCCATCTCATATTATACCCGAATTTCGGTTTAAACCTCAGTACAATATTATTGTAATTATATATACAGATGTAACTATCATGGTATTCATGGGCGTGATGATGTGTTTCAGGTGTGGTTCAAGAACCGGAGGGCTAAATGCCGGCAACAGGTGAAACAGAACCAGCAGCAGCACCACAACGGCACTGGAACGGACAAGACGGCGTCGTCGAGGAACAACAACTCGGCCGGCAACAACGGCCAGAAATCTTCGGGGAAATCGTCCGGCGGCGGGGGCAACGCGCCTGTCAACAACAACAACAAAATGTCGCCGACGATAAACGGCGGTGTCGGCGGTGTGGGCGGGGGCGGCGTGACGAGTTCGACGGCCGGCAACTCGCCCGTGTCCACCGGCACGTCGCTGTCGTCCAGTCGACAGTCGCCGCCCGGCGGTGGATCGTCGTACATCAAGCCGATACTGAGCGGCACGCCGCCACAACCGCCGTCTGCCGTGTACCTCCCGAGTTCCGGTAAGCCGAACTGTAGCACTCAAATTATAATCTCGACCGTTGACGGCCCACCCACACACTTGTTTAGCTCTTAGAAGCCACGTGACCTTTGCAAATAGGCTTCCCTCGAGGGATCAAGGACGAGGTGTTGTGCGTGGGGACCTTTTTTCTTATTATACGAATTCTCCAGAACAGGATAATTCCCCGTGTGTTGCAGGAACAACAATATTATCGTATAGGCGTGCCATCAATTTATTTTTAATGCGCGTGGTGAGTTTACTATTCGAAAAGTGGGTGGCGTAGAAGGGGCCTGCGTGTGCTACTATAATATAGTGACGCCCCGGGGACTTATTGTAGGGTCATTTATCCGGGCCCGCCTATATCCTTACACGCGGCTTCAGTACAAATATATATTTAACCACGACGAGGGATTTAAACGTCACGTTTATTTAGGTTTTACCTATACGTTTTAACGGGTTAGAAAACTATTGCCAACATGCCAAGTTTGTCCAATTTGTATTTATTTTTTCTCTCTCTTTCTTCTTTGGTCTTGCCTTCTTTACTAAAGTAATATACATTATATAATATGTATATGTGTATTGTTTTTCTCACTCCGTCGATCGTTTTATTTTCTCGGGATTTCGGCGCATTTTACTTTTGTTCACTATAGTAACGTTTTGAATTTTGTACAGGTGGTGGAGGTAATACGCCTGGATCGATATGGAGCCCCGCCATCACGGAACCACCTCCGGGACTGGTGGACTTGCACCATCACAGCACCAGGTCGTCTCCAGTAGGCTCCAGCGGAGGCTACTCGACCAACGGCAGCACTGGTGGCAACTGTTATTCGTCTCATCACCACCATCACCAACCGCATCATCACCATCCTCACCACCATCACGCGGCGGCGCATCATCACCAGAACTACGGCGGTTACTACTCGAACATGGACTATCTGGCACCACCGCCGACAATGTCATCCCATCAAACAGCCGTGAGTTGGCGTGAATTAGTTTATTAACATTATAATATTTTAATTTCAACTCGTATAATATTGTTTGTGTAGTTTCACAGTAGAATTTCGTTTATGTTTAGGCGATTTCACTTAGGTCGATATACCATAATGGGCCCCCTAGTCAATCGTTTATTTAGTATTTTTCAGGTTTTTTTTTTCATTTTTTTTTAAACAGAAAATGTAGTCAGCGATGTTACTGCGTGTTTAATATTTGAAATTAGTTTTCTGAGCCCACGGCCCTCCAATTCGAGATTCAAAGTAACTCGGTAGTGCCCTTCCGAAATAAACCCCAATTATTATGGCGTTAGATATACATTCTACCATTCAGCCGTACACGCAATTATTCAACGGAGTAAAAAGTAGTGACTTCGGGAAGGGTAAAATCTAAATCTCTCGAACGCCATGTGTACACAGTGGTTGGGGTGAACGAATAAGGGTGTTGTGATGTATGCCTAAAGGAAAACCAATCTCGATCAGGGGTGAAGGGTTGCAGGGTAGTAGCGGTGATGTTTAACACCAAGTCGCGTGAAAATATGCATAAAACAAATACGATATGCAACTAATCGGGGAGGCTAGAGTAAATCCGTCCGCCTGTACTCGTTATGTCTGCTTATATGTTAACGTAATAAAGAGGAGCGTTTAATGAATAATTTGTCGAACATGCAGCGCAGTTCACACAAACGATATTGCATAGGCGCCTTGGAGATGATAATAATATTATTATATAGTGTGGAGGTCGATTTCGAAGTTTTTCTTCCTCAAAACCTAATTTCACATAGCGTCCTCGAAATATCGCCTCTATATAACTACAGTCGAGTGTATCCGAGATTCTCGTCATGAGATTCATTGCGTCATATTATTTTATAATTTAAAGTATGTCATCGTTGTAACAGCGGTCGTGTTTTGTTTTGTGTTCGCAGGAGAACGGTTCGGAGTCGGCTTGGGTGAAGCGCGAAGACGCGTCGTCGTGGTTTTACAACTCGGCGGGCTGGGAACGCAAGTAAACAACTGGAACCAGGGCCGGGGCTGTTGCACACCTCCGCCGCCTACGTCTTCTCGCGAAGCTGCCGCCAGTCATCCGCGGCTGGCAGAGATGTATCTTTTCGCGGGGTGGCCTATACATAAGTGCATGTAAATAAATTATCATATTCGGGCTGGTGCCGAGGACGACGGCGGACACACCACCAACAGCTTCCTGAAAACCACACAAAGATTGTACAATATGAAAAATAAATAGGCCGACATCGTTTTAAATTAAAATGTTCGACTCGAGCGCGCACGTCAGACGTCCGTAGAATAAAATTATTATGATAAAATAATAATATTATTATGACTTAATTGTATATTCAGTGTGGATACGTGCGCGTTTACTGCACCGGTTCACCGATCGATAATATATCGACGATCAGGAGTAAATTATAACGCGTTGTACAGGATCAACTAGAACAGCTATGGCGCAGTAAAATAATATAATAATTATATGTTGTCATATTTAATATAACATGTGTGTGTGTAAACGGTAACGTGTATAAATGACGTGTAATAATTACGTAGTGCAGTGAAGCCTCTCTCACATATAAGCTATAGGTACCAATATTAATAAGATGGTTTCAAATTTCAATTAGATATGTTCAAACAGTCTAATCTTATTACTAAAAGAGTTTTGCCACACAAACACACAATATTATACACGTTTCGTGTAAACGTCAACTTATTTAAGATGTTTAGTAAAAGTAAAGATTTCAGGTAGGTACCTAAATCTATTAATTTTTTTTCTCAGAGGTTTCACTGCGTTTATAATAGTAATGCAAATGTCGTGTGTAAAATAAATCTTCAGTGATCTCGTTAAACTTGTATAATTTTCGATACAAACTGTTTTTGTATTTAACCTTCTTCTATACGCGTGGGTGATTCGTCGACTTACACGAGCCACATTAATCTGCCGATCGAAGAATTTCGGATTTCATTTACCGCGTAGACGACATAGGCGGTAATCCATGAAAATTTCAAAGGGGCTAACATTTTTAACATTAAACTAAGCCTCCCAAGCACCCTCCCCCCCCCCCGATTTCCGCCAACGGTAGACGATCTAAAATATTCTTATAACCGATCAAAACGATAACCGAATAACCGGCAATTAAAGTTTATTTGCATTTATGTGCCGGTAAATCCTAGACTAGTTCCGAAATCGTGTAAATAAAAATATTTTACCAATAGACGAACACGTATCTCCAATATAACAGTATAATAAAAAACCGTTATAGCATTGTGTCCATTTGACTTTTGTTACGTGTATCGATTAAATAACAACATAATAATATAACCTACCAATAATGCGTACTGTATATAAGACATTTTATTTTATTCGATTATTAGATTTTTGCCGATTGTTCGATCGATTATTTACGAGCAAGTCGATAACCGATGATTTATTATGAAATTGCATAATCCCCCAGCACAATACGCGACCACCCCTCGGCCACGCCCATAAACCATCGTACGTACATGATCGTATATTATGTTATTGTCGGATGTTAAACCGAACGCGAGAGGATGTACGCTAATATAATAATATGACGATACGACAAGCTAGGGGCGCGGTTTCAGATTTTCAATAGGGGTCTGAACACTTAATAAGCGACCCACTTTTTCTTCCCGAGGGACTTGCAGCGTACGATAAAAAGGTTAAAAAGCACAGCTATTAGAAAATATCATTGTCACATCTTAACTAATAATCAGTAAAAATTAATTTTTCATCCTCCGATTGCCACAGATTGTGAGCATAGGCGCAATTTCAACTTTTGACTTGGAGGGGCTGAATATATTAAATGCAATATAGCATATTAAAATTGTATGTCCTAGGTTTTTGGGGGGACAGTTTGGGAGGTTTAGCACCCCCCCCCCAATTTTCGCCTATGATTGATGGAAAATATTGATATACATAGCCAATTCATCAACGATGTTGCTCAATGATTGATTTGCATATCCGGGCTACAGGGAAAATAAGTCACCTGAATGACGTACCGCGCCTGTATAATATATTTATGGGTGTGGACTATGTGGGAAGAGTGACTAGTTTTTCTACAAGGGTAGTTGGCGAATTCAAAATGACATGCGTGCTTAAAAAAAAATAAATTTTGTGTAATAAGATAGATGGCACAGGCCAAAATTATATAATTTGATTTATAGTCGCTTATACCAGCCCATCAAGTCATCATAATCATTTTTTCAAATTCCTAACCAAATAACCAATACAGCTGTTTGCAAAGTTTTTTTGAATATTGTTATATCGAATTTCAAAGTTCACAAAAATGAAATAATTAGAGTCCGCTCTACAATCAAATATACATTGATATTAGGTATAGACATTTTATTAGAAAGTTAAGAATATCAAATTATTAGATATTCGATTGTTAAGAACATTTTAATATATTTAAATATTATATAGAATATTAGTCCATACCTAATCTATTTATAGGTCTACTGAAATGTCTTTTGCAATATGAGTTTTTTATCTTTATCTTCTAGTTTCGTTCATAGATCTAGTTTTCTGAACTATAAAGATGACCAAACTGCCTATAAAAAACAAAGTATAGTATTTTACAAATGTATAAACCAAAAAAGGAATTTATTTGGAAACTGACAACTGTGTATTTTTTCTCAGATAAAATTATATCGGTGTTTGTAGGTCGGATTCTAAGTCTTATAAATAAACAACATTCGATAAAACAATTTTTTCAAATTTTTTGTGTTTTATTATTATTATCACTATTATTATTATTATTATTATTATTATTATTATTATTATATACATGTACATATTATATATACGGTGTGAATTTGGGGAGCGATATTTTTTTTATTTTGAAGGGTTTAGCCACCCCCCCCCCATATAAGCCAACTCTTATATCCCCCATAACTCCACGCTCTCCAAAACAGCGCCCCTGCACAAACTCGCAGGCTTATTATCGAAAATGGACGGACAATAATACCAGATGTGTGTAACGCGTAATCTTTTCAAAAACAATATCGGCCGACGTACCTACTCGTCGAATGTATACCTGAATTTTTTTTTTTTTATTTCCCCTTCATCTTTACAATAATATTTCTTATATTTTATTGGACTGCGTTCATATTTAGTCCTGTACCAAAAAATATTTCGTCTCCATTAGTAGTTTCGATTCAAAATCAAATGACTATTTGGGTCATCAATTATTTAAGTTTAATAATATCGGAAACAACTATATTAATTGATTAATTATATCAATTATTAATATAACAAATATTTTGTTACAAATCATTATAACAGGTGGGTATGTGGAAAAAACACGTTTCTACCTTATTAGGAACTCGGTCAGTGTCGTGATTAGTAATAGAAAGGACTCTGGTTGAATAGTTGCATCCAGCATTAATAGCCACACGTATAACTCCGTTAAAAATCCCATACGTCATTATATTTATTTTCGAAAGAATCTGTGAAGGTACATATTTTATTTCATTCTTCAAATTACTTTTTAACAATATCTTTAACAAACTCGGTAGATAGTTATGCAATGTTTTTGTTTTGATAGTTTAAATCGAATTTCCAATCAAGCGTTTAAAATATTTCTTATTATATTATTAAATCTTGTTTTTCATTTTATTATATTATATTATTATATACAAAAAAAAACATTTCAGTGGTGGATTTGTGCCCACCCGCCCCATTGGGCCTACGTGCTCACCCGTTATTAATGACGATTACGCGAGGGCGGTGTTGTTTATTACTCGACATTATCATGTAAATATTGAATCGGAGAAAAAAAATGATAAAAAAAAAATGTTTGTTTATGTGTAAAAAAAATAATAATAAATGTTGTATACATTTCTCCATACATAGGTATATATTATTATATAAATATTGTATTAAGCAAATGGTAACGAAATCTTTTTTTTTTTTTTAGTATCTATATTATTATAAAAACATAAATTTTAGATAATTATTTGCAAGTTGTATAATATTCTTATATTAAAAACAATATTATAATATATATGTGTATAAAATATGTGTACGTTAGAATCGGTCTTTCTTTTTCAAAGACACGAACTGTGTTCCAAATTTTGTTTTTTTTTCGCAATTAGTTTGATCGTATAACATTATATTATTATAATACACTATATCTATATATTATATATAAATATCATATTATATTGTACATTATTACGGTTAAGAAATAATAAATTATGCAAATTATTTTATAGTGTAAAATAAAAACTCAATCTACCATAATATAAACGTTGTACCTGTGTATAAACCCTATTTGTAAATATAATAATAGTATATAATACAAGATATTATCATTACTTGTGGACCTATATAGTTTGGTACATAATATAGAAAACGGTATTCGATCATCAATATATTATTATACTATACGGTTTGCCAATTATATAATTAACGGTGAAAAGAGGCATACCTACAATAGTATATTTATATAAACTACACCTAGACCAGTGCTTGAATTAGAGGGGAAACGGTTGCAGGGAAGATCTCTTATTATTAAAAATATTTTAGCGTACCCCTACTATAACTACCTACCTATATCCTAATGCTAATCATAAAATATTTAAATATTTGGGTACACAAATTATTTTTATATTTTTGCATCCTCCGCAGCTACAGCGTCTGATTGGTTAGGCGAACTACCGAGAAAATCTCGGTGGGCCGCTTAAAGTTTGGGCCGGTCGTGGGAGTATGAGTGAAAATAAATTCATGTTTAAAATGCGATTGGCCCTATAAGCTCGTAATATGACGTACCTATAGACGTAATTTTTGGCCACTGAATATATGTAAATGGGCTGCTTATAGAAGTGAAAATCTCGATGGCCTATCACATACCAATCCGGCCTTGCTCCAGCATCATTTAATATTATTCCAATTCAACACAGATTATACCCGTAGGTATGTACCTACTAAGTGCAATATAATATCAAATGAGCTATCAAAAATGTTTTATTGGCGATA